ATTTGCAATGCCAGACTGTATCATCCATGAAGGCAAGAGGTGGTATTGTTATATGAGATGTTGTAGTTGAAAAAATTGTTTTTGAGGGGAATTGTAATGATATTTTGAGAAGGTTTGGGCTGTATTTTGAGTTAATATAACTAAGAATAGAGTCATAATAGATTTTCCAGAGTAATGGAGAATAGGTTTCTCCTTGTTTAATGCCTGAATGAAGTGTGATTGGGTCAGTAGGGCCATAGGCTGTAATTGCTCTGGCTTTCTTATCTTGGTATAGATGTTTGATAAAATTAAGTCCAGATTGGAGAATGCCAATATGTTTGCAAGCATCTAGTAAATGTTTAATGTTAATTTTATCAAAAGCTTTGGACATGTCTTGGAAGAGTATCCATGCTTCTTTGTTGTTAGTTTTGTAATGTTCTATTGTGTTAGTTAATATTTGTATAGGAATGTGTGTAGAATTGTTTTTGGTTGCTGCAAAGTTAAAATTATTTAGTAGGTGGTGTTAATTAATAATTTGATCGAGACATGTGGTAAAGATTTTTGTAAGACATTTCTTAATAGGTTCAATGAGAGAAATTGGTCTAACTTAGTCTAAAGTAAAGTCCCATGTAGATTTTTTTGGTATTAAGAAAATGTTAGATGTTTTCCATATTGTTAGTATTTGTTGTAATGAAAGGCATTTTGTTAGAAATAGTCAAATAATATTTTGGCCTTTGGAGTTAGATATTTTAAATGTTTGTAGTTTGTTTCTGATGGACCTGCAGCTTTTTAGTTTGGAAGGTCATGTATGACTTTGTTCCATTCCTCTAAAGTTATTTCAGAAAATAGATTGTTAAAAAGAGGTTTATTTTCTGAATGAGGTTTGTAAAGTTCATAAAATTTTGAGTTTTCTTCTATTGGTGTATATGGTAACTTTTTAAAGTTGTCTTGAAAGTGAGATTATAAAGCTTGTTTTATTTCAGATAGTTGAATAGTGAGTATATTGTTAAATAATAGACAGTCTAAGTTGATACTATTATTTGGTTTTTTTAAAACATTTCGAAAGAAAATTTTTAGGTTTTGATAAAAGTTAATATTTATTTCTTTCAGTTTGTTTTGAATTTCTTTTAAAGTATTTTCTTGTTTTTCTTTATAGATTTGTATTTTAAGAGTTTTTATTTCTGTAGTGAGTAGATTTGATAATATAGTAGAGTCTGGGTTATTAGTAGTTTGTATTAAGCGTAAGGCTGATAGTAAGGTGTTTTGTAAATATTTTTTGATGTATAGGTTGTATGTTTGTAAGAAGTTAAAGATGATTTGAGTGAGATTGTCTGTTTTAGTTATTTGTATAGTGGTGAAAGAGAAGGTTGTTGTTCATAGTGGTATAGATTAATTTTAATTCTTTTAAATGGAATATGTTTTTGGGCTGCTTTAGTTAGAGCTTTGTTGATTTTATTCTAGGTATTGTTAAGTTCTAAGCTATTAGTAATGTTGGTAATAACTGTAAAGAGTTGTTGAAGGTTTTGTTTAGTATGATTTTGGTAGTTTTCGATTTGTTCATTTTGTATAAGTTTCCATTGATAGATGGTTCTTGATTGAAATTGTTGTATATTGATTTTAGGTATATTAATTGTAAGTTTGAGTAATACTATTAAGTGATCAGTTGTAGTAAATAGATTTGGTAAAATATCAACATAGTCTAAAAGTGTAATATGAATGTTAGTCCATATTTGATCAATTCTACTATGACTGTTATTATGTATATAGGAGAATATGGAAGTAGATAGAAAAAAAGCCTATAAGTGTTATAAAATTAGAGAGATTTAAGTATTTTTAGAAGAGAATGTTTAGGTGTAGTTGAGTTTTTTTGTGGTAGTCTATCTAGTTTAGGATTTGGAACTCCATTTAGGTCTTCCATTAAAATTATTTTGTAGTTGATTTTATTAAGAATAGGAGTAAGGTATTAAAGAATGTCTTTTCAGAGTTGTTTTTTTTCTTAAGTTGAAAAGTAAAGTTGGATTAGTTTAATATAAAGGTTTTTGAGAAATATGTTAATTTCTAGAAGAAAGTTTTTGTATGTCTGTATTTTTTCAATATGCTTTGCAAGTGATTTGTGGATTAATATTTCTACATCACCTTGGCAAACATTACTTGGTGTCCAAAAGCATTTGTAATTTAAGAGTTTTTGCGAAAGTATTGAGAACTTTGCTTCTTTGATAGATAGATATGTTTCTGAAATTCCAAAAATATTAACTTGATTTTCTGAAATAAAGTCAATTAGACTTAGTTGTTTGAAGTTATCAAGAAGGCTGTTAACATTTAGTGAGTGTAATTTGATTGATTTTGTAATATTTGAATTTTCAGAAGATAAGATGTTGTTGTTTATATGTGTTATAATAGAGAAGGGTTTAGAAAATAATGGTGTTGTGGATAAAAGAATGTTTTGACATTTTGAGAGAGAAGGTATTTTGAATCTTGTTGAAGTATAATTTGTTTTAAGTAGAACATTTTAAAAGTTTGTAAGATTTTCAAAAGAAATATTAGTAAAGTTAAATAGGGAATTCGTTTTCTGTAGAAGATGAATATGTGCTTCTTTGAATATATTGTTTTTAGATGTTTTAATAAAAATTTTTATATATTGTTCTGAATAGTAATTTGGATATTCATTTTGGATAAATTTTAGAAATGCACCTATTGACTGTGGTAATAGTAAGAGTTGTAGGTTATAAAAGAAAAGGAATTTGTTAAAACATGTTAAGGGATTGCATATTTTTGAGAGATTTGGAATTTGGGTGAAGGTTTTTCCTTTAGTAGTTTTGGTAATTGGTGAGTCGATAGTATCATTTAGATCTTCTGTTGATAATTCATAATCAACATTAGTAGTTTTAAAGTTTGTTGGAGTGTTGATAAAAATGTTAGGTATTTGTGATTTTTGAGAAGTAGATATAAAAAATTTTTCTAAAGGGGAATTCTCAGAAGAATGTGATGAGTTGTTATCTGAGAAGTTAGTTTTTCTTTCTATAGATGTACTCACCGTATACTCAGTTCTTACAGTTGCAGAGGATACTATAGTCTGCTCTGTACATTGGGTCTGATCATCATTAACTTGGTCCTTTACATAAATAGGCTTTCTTGCCTGCCTACTTACATCATTCTCTTCCAAAAATGGCATACTTTTAGTGACAAACATCATTATTTTAAAAGTGGCAGCTGTATTAATGTTATCTATAGAAGGATTTATTGAAAAAGTGAACTAAAGGTAGCAGTTGAAGATAGGAAAAGAGTGTCATCATGTATAGAAGGAATTTTAATATCATAATGTTTAATGATAAATTTTTCTGCTTCTAGAAAGTATTTTTGATCATAATCGAGTTGAATTTGTGTAATAGAGAATTTAGGTTGGTTTTGAGTATGAAAATAAAAGAATTATGCATGCTAAGATATGTGGATTAATAGTAGTTAAAATGAATTTTTCTAAAGCTTGATTAAGTTCAAGGCCTGTAATACTGTCATTTATAGCTGTAGTATTTAAATAAGCTTTAAAATAAGAATAAAGATAGAATGTAGTATGTTTAAAATTAGTTTCTGTAGTGTTTATTTCTGCAAACTTTTGGTCTGCTTTAAGTGCAAGTTCATTTAGTTTATGAAGTGGGATAGTTTTTTTAAAAGTTACTGTATATTGTTGATCTGGTAGAAAAATTGAGTAGTCGGAAATAAAGGGTGTAGTTTTAGAAGTAATATTTTCTTTTAAAGGTGCTGGAAAGGTTTCAAAGGATTTGTCAAAGAAGTAAGTAGAAATGTTTTTAAAGTTGTGTTCTGTATCTTTTGGTAAAAGTTTACAGTCTTTGTCTTTGCATGTATGAACATGAAAGAGTGCTGCTTTGGTAGTTAGAAAGAAGTAATTTTGAAGAGAGGTTGGTTCTGTAATTTGGAAGTCTAAAGATAGAATTTTTTGCATTCCTTAGTGAGTGTGATTGCAATCTGGTATTTAATATAGTTTTTAACTTTGTCTTTATTAATATCAGTGAATTGTTTTTGATAAGCTTTAAAGAAGTCTGTATACCATATGTTGAAAGTATGAATATATGATTTAAGTGATGGAATTCGAAAGGTATTAGCAAATTTAGATTTAGGAATGTTAAGAGTAACAGTAATTGTAAATTGATTATTGTTATAGATACTGAATAAGGGTTTTGGGGCATCATATTCAAAATTATATTTCATTAAGAATCTAAAATGATAAAGCTCTAACTTTTCAATAAAATTTTGATAGTAGATTGTTTGGTATTTGTTATAAAGGAATAGATGTAATCAAGCAAAGTTAATTGCTACTTTACATCGATCAGAAATTGAATAAGGTGGAATTGAGTAATAAGAATGAAAGATATATAAATAATTAAGTTTTGTGAAAAGTAGTTCAGTAAATTTGGTGAGTAGATTTTTAAGTATTAAAATATAAGCATATTGAGGGATATTAAGTTGAGGTGAGAGTAATATAATTTGGTATGATATTATTTAGTCTAATACAAATACATTTTTTTTCATTACAATTTGAACATTTTTTATCAAGAACAACAAATCTATCATCTGAAATATATGATGATTTTGAAGAGACTGAACATGGTTCAGAATGAATTGATTCAATATCAAAATCTTATACATTGTATAATTTGTTTTTACATTTAGTACAAAATTTTGTTTTTCGAAATATATTACATTTCTCACAATATAAGATTTTAAATTTTTTTTGATATGACCATTTAAAAATATATTTTTTTGGTTGTATATTTTTAATACATGAACTTCTTCATACTAAAATTTGATTTCTATTTATAGTTAAATATTTAGTTGAAAAATTGTATTCATCTTTGCACATGAAGCAAGAAAATTCTTGTAAATTATTTTTATAATGCATTTTTGAAATTACATCGATAAAATTCTATTAGGTTTTAAAAACTTGATAGATATATAAATTTAATAATAATAATATAATATAAATATTATAAATCAAAATAAACACATTATTTATCTAACTTTTTAATAGATTTCTTTATGTTAGAAACATCTCTAATAGCATTATTTAATGACCAACTTAAAACTTGCTTTTTCTAAGTTTCTATTTTAACAAAATATGAATTATTTTGATCAAGTGATAAAATATCTTCAATTTCATTTAATTCTGATTCATATGCTTGATAATAAATACACAATTGTTTCATAAAATCTAATCATTCTTGTTTATTAGAAAAAGCTTTAATAAAAGATTTTTCTTTAACATCTTTTATAAGTTCACATTTTTTTTGTTTAGCATAAAATTCATAAATTTCATTTAAATTAAAAATAGGAGTTTCTTCAACATCTTTTGTTTTTTATAATTTAGAAATTACTTCAACAACTTCTTCTTCACTATCTCTTTCTCTTTGAAATTGTTTTCTTTTAAACATTTTCAAATTGTATACTTTATAAAGTTACATAAATAAATATCTAATCAGTGAAAATTTACTGATTAGATATTGTAGCTTAAAATCTTATACATATAAACATATAAAATAAAATTAAAATAAACTATTTGAATTCAATTCTACAGTTTTCAGTAACTAAAATTTTGTTATATTCAAATTCAATTTCAATTTTTTTACTATTATTAACTTCAATACTTTTAATATTATTAATAATATTAAAAGTATTAACTGATTGAATACTATTAGTATTTTCATGAATCGAAATTTGATTATCATTAGTTATTTGATCTTGAAATTGAACTACAGATTCATAAGTTGCTTCAATAGGAGATGAAACTTCTTGATGAAAAGTAAGTTGCTTAGTTTTCTTCTTACATCCTCTCTTATTTTTTTTAATAAAATTCCAAATTTCTGAATATTTAATCATAAAATAATTTTTTAATTTTGATTCATTTGTTGACTTAGGATAAGAATAATCATTTTTATATTGTAAACAAATATAAGTTTTAGTAAGATCATTAGAAGCAAAATAAGTCCAGATAGGATGAACTAAATTAACTTCAGTCATATTAAATT